AGTAGAGACGGGGTTTTACCATGTTGACCAGGATGGTCTCGATCTCTTGACCTCATGATCCACCCGCCTCGGCCTCCCAAAGTGCTGGGATTACAGGCTTGAGCCACCGTGCCAAGCCGGCGATACATTATTGTTAATCTGTGTATTACTACCTTACCCCAGCTGTCGGATTTTATTTTCTCCTTAGTCTTTATACATTCTATAAAAGCCTGTCTCAACTTGTTAGCCCATTCCTGAGAGAGGAAAGTGCTGAAGGGAGCAGAGGAAAGTACTGAAAGAATGGCAAAGGGGAAGATATGTGTCAGTCATGACTAGTTAGAACTTGGCATTTACTTTTAGAAAGAAACCATATGGTTTATGGTGTTTTGATTCTATAGTGTTCAGTAGTTCAACTTGGCTCTATTATATTCTGAATTATGTAGTAGACTGGGCCTTATTTTGGCTTGAGACTCTGTCCTCCTTCATAATACTGGCCTGTACCAAGGAGTTCCAAACAGTCAACTTATATAAAGCTTTTCTTAAAAGAGTTATTAACAACCTATATTTTTCTAGCATATATTATTCATTGTCTAAACAGGTGGCTAAAGGCTATTATTTAAGTTTCTTATAACACTTCTACTTAGAAAATAGCTTATAAAAGCAGAACTACCATTCGACCCTGCAATCCCGTTACTGGGTATATATCCAGAGGAGTATAAATCATTCTGCCATAAAAACATATGGGCATGAATGTTCATTGCAGCACTATTTATAATTGTAAAGACATGGAATCAGCCTAAGTGCCCATCAATGACAGACTGGATAAAGAAAAGGTAGGACATATATACCATGCAATAATATGCAGCCATAAAAAAGAATGAAATCATGTCTTTTGTGGGAACATGGATGGAGCTGGAGGTCATTATCCCTAGCAACTATCGCAGGAAAAGAAAACCACATACCACATGTTCTCATTTATAAATGGGAGCTAGATGATAAGAACTTATGAACACAAAGAAGGAAACAACCGACATTGGGGTCTACTTGAGCAGGGAAGATGGGAAGAGGGAGAGGAACAGAAAAGGTAACTGTCGGGTACTGGGGTTAATACCTGGGTGATGAAATAATACATACAACAAACCCATGACATGTGGTACCTATGTAACAAGCCTTCACACATACCCCCAAACCTAAAATAAAGTTTTTTTTTTTTTTTTTTTTTTTTTTTTAAGTCAGAGCTTTGCTCAGTTGCTCAGGCTGGAATGCAGTGGTGCGATCTCAGCTCACTGCAACCTCTGCCTCTTTAGTTCAAGCCATTCTCCTGCCTTAGCCTCCCAGTAGCTGGGATTACAGGTACCCACCACCATGCCCGGCTAATTTTTTTGAATTTTTAGTAGAGACAGGGTTTTACCATGTTAGCCAGGCTGGTCTCGAACCCCTGACCTCAAATGATTCGGCCTCCCAAAGTGCTGGGATTACAGGCGTGAGCCACCGCGCCCAGACAAATAAAAGTTAAAAAAAAAAAAATAGCAGCCTAAACTTGACATATATTTAATGACTTTTGTTTGAATTTTTCAGGTAAAAGAGATTTTCTTTTGTTCTTTATTAAGATTGATCCTTTAAGTTGCTTCTGTTGATTTTTCCTTATTGTGGATTTAGTGGATTTATACTATTGGATAATTATGGGAAGATTTTATTTATATTTGACTAGTTATCTTTTATGAAGATATGTAGCAGAATACAGTTAAGAAAGGAATAATAATTAGCCTTGATAATTCCTGTGTGAACATATCCTTTTGTGAGTTTTTTGGGGCTTAAATGGTCTTAAAAGATCAGAAAATTTAAAAATTACTTTGAGACAAAACATGGAAAAGAGGGGGTTGGCCAGGAGTTTATCATGAAGCATATACAGGAGTCATCTCCTACCCTGAAACTGGTAAGTTGTACTTCAGCCAAATGAAACGTGTCACCTTTCCATAAATACTCCATTCCCTTTCGTGATTTTGTTCTTTGCACATGTTGTTCTATCTCTGCCTGGAATGCCTCCTCCACCTCCCTCCACCTTTTGGTTATCTGCCATGCAAGCTTCAGTTGGTTCTTAAGGTTCAGTTTAAATATCACTTCCTAATGAAACCTTTCATTAGTCATTAAGATGGAATTGGTTATCACCTCTGCCAGTTTTTAATGGGGCTTTAGTATTACCTATATGAGGATATCTATCAGATTACTGCACAATTTCAATTTACATGTTTGTATCCTCAACTAGACTGATAGTTTCTGAGTAAAGAAATCATGTGTTCATTTAGTATCCTAGTACTTAGTGCATAGTTGGTATGTTTCAGTAAATCACTAAAGTTAAATAAGGGATTTTTATGACTAAAAATGTTAGAAAATTGTTAATAAAAAATAATCTGTGGGCAGGGCATGATGGCTTACAACTATAATTCCAGTACTTTGGGAGGCTGAGGAGGGAGGAATGTTTGAGCCCAGGAGTTAGAGACAAGCCTGGGCAACATAATGAGACCCCATCTCATTTTCAATTATTTATTTTTATGAAAGAATGAATCGATAACAGGGTCTTGCTCTGTCACCCAGCCTGGAGTGCATTGGTGCAGTCGTGGCTCACTGCACCTCAACTTCCCAGGCTCCAGCAATCCCCTTGCCTCAGCCTCTCGAGTAGCTGGGACTGCAGGTGTGCACCACTATGCCTGGCTAATTT